TGGGGTTAGTAACTTGTAGTACTTGCAGTGTGGGGTGGGGTGGGGTTAGTAACTTGTAGTACTTGCAGTGTGGGGTGGGGTGGGGTTAGTAACTTGTAGTACTTGCAGTGTGGGGTGGGGTGGGGTTCGTAACTTGTAGTGTTGGGTGGGGTTTGCACTCGAGTAGTGTGGGATTTTGTAGTAGCTGGTGTGGGGTGGAGTTTTCAATTTCCATGGCTGGGGCTCTGTCGGAGATGGATGTCGACGAAGTCAGAAGTCTTGTCTCTCTAATAACCATACTGCAGTGTTGAAAGTAGCACTTTTAGCACAAATAAACGTTTTACAGCCCTTAAGACACAATTTTGGTCATAGGTAAAAGTGTTTGTTTGAAAGATTAGACGTGTTACTAGAGAGTGATGTAAAAAGGGTGAGAGATAAGAACAATGGCTGTTTGATAGATGAAAGAAGGTGCTCATCACACTAAAGCTGCTGCCAACCACCCACACTGAAAATAATGAATAGGCTGCTCTGACCCTGCCTCACAGGCTAGGGCCAATCCGGGCTGAGAGAGACACAAGGTCCTCGCAGAAAGACAAGAGTTCCCGTACTTGATAAAATGTATCCCTGCTCAGGAATTGAACCCCAGCTGTTCTGTGTGCAAAGGCAAAACGTCTCATCTAATCGAATCGCTACAGAAAGTTGCCTCCTCTGGTGTTTTAGTTTTAGCAGTAAAGTTTTACGCGCTCGTAACTGCATACGGTCATATAAGCACCAAGGGGTGAAAGTCAACAGAGAAGTCCCTACAGGGAATCAGACTTACTCTGCTCACCTCTTTAGTTTCAGCACAAAGTCTGCTTCGACTATCAAGCCACCCGGGAAATAGCAGTTCACAAGAGAGTGACAAACATACATTGTACATAAGGAGTAGAGGAAAAATGACGATAGTAAGGATGAGGAAATAAAAAGCAGCAGTTCCCCCCTATGTTGCTCAGGCACAGTATGAGCATGACATTGATAAATCAGCCCATTTACAATTCTACTGTGCCTAAGAACATGTTAATGTTATATTATATCACCCCTTTGGGAATGGCCTAAAGACACTTCAGTCAGTAGCACTGCCCGCACCTCTGGTAAAAGTGAAATGTTGGACATTTCGCAACCTCAGAATTACAAAGTTCTGTCTTAAAGAGTTACTATATGACTGACTGAGAGAAATAAAAATGTGTCACGATGCGGTGGAACCAAGCGCTCGTTAATTTTTGGACATTTGGAGTTATTGGTATGATCGTAAATCTTGTTTATTTGTCTTTCTTTCTGTGGAAAAAATATCCATCTATCTAGAATAGAAGTCGAGATATATCTATGATTAAAGGAGATGAGGGTAGCCTGTTTTCTGAGGTAAAATATGCGAGAAAGTGGCTGCCAAAGTTGGGCAACTTCTGTAGCTTGAGAGTCCTTGAAAATGAAAACATGGACTCAACTTATTTTGTGCCATTGATCAACGATTTTCAGTAAAATTTATATGGAAACATTTTTATATGGACATAACTTATATTGAGCCAAAAAACGCAAAAATTCGACAGATATAGCCAAAAAAATGCCTGTTTCTTCGATTTCATTATGGGTGTCCTTATTTAGGCCACGTGGCCTAAATAGCTAACACCCCCCCCCCCTCCCTTACCTTATTTAGGCCACATATGGCCCAAATAAGCTAAAACCCCCTCCCTTATCTTATTTAGGCCACATCATATGGTAGATTTCTTGAACTAACGATGGATTCGGAAGGTCGAGATTCTACTGCTTTTTTTGTTTATTATCTTTTTTTCACACGTTTCTTCACTATTCATGACAACTGGCATGTACTGTTTTCAGTTATTATCAAGGAAGTGGATAGGCGGACCACGGAGTCTATCTAGCCAAAAGGATAGTAGACTGCGGGGTCTACCTAACAAAATGCTAGGTTTTAGGATGTGATCCCCGGAGTCAGCGTAGTGAAATAAGTAGATCTAGGTTTAACCAAAGATTGGTTTAATTAAGGATCGGTGGACCCCGGGGTCAACATAGTGAAATAAGTAGATCTCAAGTTTATTTTATAGTAGGACTGGCGGAGCCCGTGTATACTAAAAGACTGAACAGAGGCTTACAATGTAAATTCTGTGCTCTACAAGTAGAGAAAATCTTAAGTTTGCGCAAAACAGATTTTAGAAAAAAAGATAGATCTAATTATTCGAAAAAAAGTAAACGTGATTGTTATGGTGAGAGTTGTTATTATTATCTCCGGAAATACAGTTAGTTGCTGAATCCAAAATTAACTAGAACCTTGCAATTCGTTTTATTTCAATTCCAAAGCCCAAAGGCATCGCAGTAAGTTAGATCTAGCAGTTGTAGTAGGCTCTCTGGCTGCTTTTAGCATAGGCCTGCTACTACTGATTCTAGACAAGGAATCTAGATCTAGCTATCACCTGCACTATTAAAGTCAAACGTATGGTAAAATAAAAACAAAATTGTGAATTGTTTTGTCAGTCAGTACATCTCAATTGCCATAGCCGCACGTATTAATAGTTGAATAATGCAACCGAAGCAACACGTTATCACAGTGTGCAGCGGGGAGAGGGGCTGCCCGGGTCGCTGAACGGTCGATTTGTTGGTGGTTCGCCTTTTGTAGATCTATCCATTTTTTTTAACGGAAAGCCCTATTACTAGATCTATTCGTGTTGTGAAAACTTCAACCTCTACAGCTCAGGTGTCAAAAGATGTTGGAAAATAATAATACGTCCTGTAGCTTAGGTTGCAATACCGTAAATTTATACTTAACCCTAAACATGATTGAATGTACTTAGTTTTCAGTGATCTTAATTTGGCCTTGGAAACGACGACAGCAACAATGAATAAGTTAATAAAATAAGAACATTATATATCAATATTTTAGCTTGTTTTTATTTGGTCCCGGGGAGGGGGGGGGGTGATTTGCACAGGTTCAAACACCCAGGCGTAGCCTACGGGTTTGTAAAATTGCTGTGATAGTAGCAGACTGGTTAAAAAAAAAAAAAAAGTTGTGAATGAGAGCGCAGAAGGCTGGTCGCTCGGGTTGTAATCTGTGGAGGAAGACGCGTAAAATGGAGAGCATTCAAGGGAGGCCAATCGTTTGACCTACACAAGAGGCGCTGTGGTAGAGTTTTTATTGTCGTATAATGTCGAGGGACAGGGATCTTATCACGTTGGAGTGATGGGGGCGAACTTAGGAACAAAGTTGCTGGCGTCTTAACTGAAGGAATGCATCTCACCTGGCATGATGCACAACAAACACATATTTTGGACAGTGATACTGACATGTAAGGTTGCATATTTTTTTTAGTTTGAGCTTATTTTGTCTTTTCAAAGAGGTGAACCCTGACCTGAAAACGACGATAGAGTTTGGAAAGCGAAAGCCGAAAAAGGGTAGAATTTAGGTTAGTGACAGTAGCACTGTTGTCGTTTTGATGATCGCTGTCACTAGATCTAGATTTAGATATCTAGATCTAGATCTAGATTTAGATGTATTCTATCTTAAATATTTGGTCAAGTTGAGGGAGAAATTCCATTAGATTAGATTAATTAGAAGATTGTAATGATAAGAGTTCGAGAAGAATCACCCTACCTTTCTACTCTACTCTCAGCTATAGGAGGCCAATACTGCCAATACAATAGTACCACCGATATTTTCATACGGTAGTGTCTATTGCCACCGAGTGATGCGGTGGCAATTGACAGTAGTGTCAATTGCCACCGAGTGAAGCGTTCGCAAGTCTGAAAACAACACTATCTTTAGCTTTCTATTCATTATGTGTGTCTAACTAATGGGTGAATTTGTTCTCTACTAATTTCATTGGACGAGCTTCTAGTCTAGAGCTACGATATCAACTTTGCGGGTTTTCAATGAGACGTAGGCCTAGATCTAGGGTAGCCTTAGCCCACACTTTGGTATAGAACCAACACAGGAAATTCTAGAAGTAGGTCACAAACGCACACAAACTTCAAGCAGAAATTAATTTTATATCGGGGAACATAAATCCGGGGGGACGGGGGTCAGGAAAAGACACACACACACACACACACACACACACACACACACACACACACACACACACTCACACAGAGGGACAGAGAGGCGAACGCACAACACCGAGCACTCGAGCGAGCACAATAGGGTAGATCTACCCTACTCACCGACGCAAAAGAGCTCCAATTTACTCTGTGGCAATTGACACTACAGTCAATTTTTGTCAATTGCCACGGTGTCACTCGGTGGCAATTGACGCTACCTTTTCATACATAGCGTTTATCTGCATATGTCTATTTAATACTATAATAGAGTACACACTAGAGTTTTTGGCAGTGATGACGATGTCACCCACTGAAACTGAGCGAATGTGGGCTGCATGTACTGTACCCACCCGGGCCCAGGGACACTGACTGCACTGAGCGATATTTATTTATATATTCGATCAGGTAAGGGCAAGGCATCATGCTCTGTCTAACAGAATGGAGACATCTCAACAGACGTCGGAGGAAATCTGCAAGCTAGAAACTACAATCTAGAGAGCTTGTTGTGGGGAACGGGAGGGGGGGGGGGGGGGGCTCAAATTATAAATAGTGTAAAAATCAAGTAAATGGGGGTGTGCCAGCCATGCTGATCAGGGCAAGAAGACCCTGTTTTTGACACATGTGACATCAGTGTCAGTGCCTCCAGCTCTCTAGTATTAATAATATGAGTAGAGTTTATATGTAATATTACATGCTTCAAATTATGGGAAATTTATTCTTTATTTTTTTCCAGGTTGTGTTGGTGTCTCCTGTCTCAAGGTGCAGCACCTGATGCTGTCAGAGTCACAGAAAATCTCTGGAGTGGAAGGGGCGCGCCTCCAGGTGGGTCTAGATGGATATCGTTTGTCCCCATGAGTGTCTTACGCAGTGAGGTTAAAATGGGGTGCGCATTTGCCTTAAAAATTCAGCTGGCCAATTGATTTGAAAATGTTCAAGTGAAAGCCAGCAGCAATGTTAAACTTCTCCTGTTGACCCTGTTTTGAATAATATGAGGCAGCGTGGTGGAATCAGGCTCTGGTCAAAATAATCAAAGTGAAGAAACTTGCATTTTTCCGCAGGTTTGTGAATTTTTATCAAAATTTTGTTTTTTGGCTCAACACCTTTCATGCCCATTAAAGAACTCATTTCTGTGTGTATTTTTCTTAAAACGTTGATTAAAGGCACAAAAAATGTACATTTTCAATTACGACGGACTCCTAAGCTAAGGAAATAACTAATATTTGACGGCCATTTTCTCACTAATTTTACCTCTGAAAACAGGGGACCCCCACCTCCTTCATTCACAAATATCTCGACTTGTATTGAAGGTAAATGGATTTTTTTCCCCAACCAAATAAAGACAAGTGAACAAGCTTTAAGATGGTACCAATAACTCTACATGCTCAAAAATTGACGAGAGCCTGATTCCACCACGCTGCCTCACACACACATATATATGCCTGCTCTGTTCTGACAATATCTCTGTGCTTTTTTTTTGTTTGTTGTTCAGTTTGCATTCCTTCTTGAAAGAGTTGTAAGACAAAAGTGTACTTTTTATGGGTTACAGTTCCATCAATATTTCTACTATTATATTAATATTGAGATTGAGATAACCAGCCTTGCCTTTGTTTTGAGGCTCTGAATAAATTTAAGCAAAGTGTTATAAAAATGGGTTTTGTCAAAAAGTGATAGCAGCAATGGTATTGTCTACTTTTCTGTCCCTTTTTTAACTTTGTGATAACTCACTCATATATATATATATATATATCTTCATGGGTGTTTGGCAGGTTCTCTGTTGTGGTTTGTTCCTTCTATCAAACGTCTATCGTCCTCATCTCTTCTCCTTTTTTTTGTGTGTTTGTTACTCTCTTGTACGACCTCTGCCTCTACTCTAATCTTTGGCATTATATGAGTTTGTTACTCTCTTGTACGACCTCTGCCTCTACTCTAATCTTTGGCATTATATGACCTACTTATTGTGTGTTGCAAATGCCAAAACTCTTACTATTACTGAAACCAAAAACGGAATAATTAAAAATGTGTCTTTGTGTTGCTGGGAGGAAACACAGTACTGTACGTCTAGCTTGTTTTCCCACTTCTAGAATAGAAGTTTACTGTGCGTGTCCTCAGGTGAACTGTACAGCCAACGTCTCAGCTTCTCCTAGCTCCCTGAGGTGGGTGAGGAACAACGGTGATGGATCGACGCTGCCGCAAATTCAGCCGACGGAGACCAAAGTCATACTCCGAATTCCGTCCCTGCAGGGCTCGGACGCGGGTCGCTATGCCTGTGAGCTAGTCATGGCAGACGGCACGGAGGAAAAGGCGGAGTTCCACCTCTTTGTCAAGCGCAAAGGTACAGAAATAGATATATGTTCACACTTCGTGGGGTTCCGAACTACCCGGAAGCGAAGTTTTGGGTCCTGTGTGAATTTTAGTCTGTTCGTAGTAATAGATTGGGGCTGCTGGTTTCAATTTCAGGGAATTTCTGATTTCTGAACATCTCGAATTCAGTTTTATAGTTTTATGTCTTATTTGAATTTACGAGACTGTGGCTTGCTTATGAAATGGTCAATCAGTCTTTTTAAAATATTTTTTTTAAGGTGTTGTGAGAATGGGGGGAAGGGGGGGGGGGGGGTGTTCAACAATGTTCAGAATTTCTGTTTTCTGAACATCTCAAGTTCAGTTTTATAGTTTTATGTCTTATTTGAATTTACAAGACTGTGGCTTGCTTATGAAATGGTCAATCAGTCTTTTAAAAAAAAATTTTTATGGTGTGAGAATGGGGGGAAGGGGGGGGGGGGGGGTGTGTTCAACAATGTTCAGAATTTTTGTTTTGTTCAGATGGCACCAGTGACAAGTAACCAGGGGTTATGATACGAAAAGATCAGTTGTACATTGCACCAAACTTTGTAAATATTCCAAAGAGAAGTCATATCATTTTCATTTCGTTAATCTAACGCTTTTTTTGCTCTAAAGAACTGGATTTATTGATAGGTTCAAGTTCTTTATGATATGCATCGATACAATTGAAAAGACATTCCAAGTGCAGTCCTCTACTCCTCTACCAGTGTGAAAACCATGAGAGGAAGGGAGGTACTTGCAGGGCATCAATGGTATTACTTGTGTGTTGTAATGCCCTGTTTACAGTTGTTTTTGGAGAAGATGAGAAGAGTGATTTCCCAGTGAGGTGATATTCAATCTTCTTTTAACTACATTCCAATACTCTATAATTCTTTCTGTGGCTTTCCAACATACTCTGAAAACAGTTCTGTGGTGGGATTTCCTCTTTTATTCTACAAATGTCAGTGACTTACATTGAGCACAGAACTCGTGAAAATCTGAACTTATAGCTATCAATGTATCAACAGGTTCATCAAATCGTTTACATGACTTTGTAAAAAAAAATGTAAAGACTTTGGTTTCCATATTTTTCTAACAACGCTTCTGTTGTGACCCAGATCGCAATCCTGCAACCTGCCCGAACACGCAGTTTAAATGCAAGACGACAAACCTTTGTCTCTTTACGAGATTCCTCTGTGATGGCAAGGACGATTGTGGGGATGGTTCGGATGAAAAGTGCAAAGGTGAGAGGTTGTGAATTTTGTGAGTGACCTTAGCTTGCAACTGAATGGGTAGTTTTAATAGTTTAAGTACATTACTGTCATGTGAAAAAAAATTGTAGAGGGGAGGGATGAATTATGTGGCTGTTTCTTTTTTCTTTTTTTTTTCAGCGTTAAAGCACTCTAAGTATCATGCAAACGCAGTCAGTGCTGACTTGAACTACTAACCCTTCCAGCCCCGCCATTTTGGTGCACTCCCTAACCCCAGTCCCAGCCAATACCAGTATTTCAGAAAAAGAGGCATGCGTTCTAAAAAAATGATGTCATTTCTTTGTAATGAGTTTTAGATAACAGCATATAACAATGTTTAAAGGTAAATGAACAAATATGAAAATTAACGTTTAATTAGGTTCGCTAATTTAAAAAACTGCGCAAATTCGGTGCCTCCCGAAACTGAGAATATACGCTCTTGGAACGGTGGGAGGTACAAGCGCTGCTGAAAATATACGCGCATAGGGCTGGAAGGGCTAACAAGGTGTTCTTGGCATCGTATAGTCCTAATGAAGAGGGATTTTGAGTGGAAGATCCTGTCTCACTTGACTTTCGATGTATGTTATTGTAAGTGGCCATTTGGAAAGTGCAAAGAGCTATAGACGGTTTTTAAGTTTCATTGGCTCTTTTTTCTTTTTTTTTGGTGTGTTTTGTTTTGTTTGTTGTTGTTGTTGTCAAAAGTTGTTCTTCCATTTGTGCAGGCTGGTGCAATGGTTGCCTCAAATTGTTTGTTGACACATTACTGTCGAACCTGTTCCAACAGCCACCTGTACTGTCCCAAGACAATCACCTGTAGAAACGAGTTCCAACTTCCCACTTTGCATTTTTAAATATTATAATGACGCAGCCTAAGACATGACATACACCTGTCTAAAACAGCCTCACCTTCTCCTTGACAATAAGTGGCCATCTTGGACGGTGTTTTGTTCCCTCGCGTCACCTTGTAATGCAATAAGGAACGTCCTTTATTGATTAAACATTTCTGCCCTGTTAAAAATGGGTTCAGTTCAGGCTGAAGGGGTACAGCCCAAGAGCTATTGGATCCGATTGACAGCAGCTACAGTTACAGTATTAATTCATAATTTGATAATAATAAATAGCATTTGTATAGCGCATATCCCCGCTTGACAGCAGGCTCTATGCGCTTTACACTATATTATTACCCCAGCAGACCATATGACACTCAGAAGTGCAAGCAACTGATTACGAGCGCTCGAACACAAACAAACTGACAAGATCTTTCACTGCTATAATTTCTTTCTGTCTTTCACTCAGTGAATGTCTCTCAGCCAGCCTCCTAACTGATTTAAATTGCATTGATGGGAGTGTAAAAACTCCTACATGAAAAAAAAAAATTTTTTTTTTTTTTAACAGTGAATCCGTGCACGAACAAGTTCCGCTGCAACAACACGCGTTGCGTTGCCCTGAACGACCTGTGCAATCACATCGATGACTGTGGGGACCACTCTGATGAGGGATCGTTTTGTTTTGGTGAGTTTCTGTGGATTCTCCCGTTTCTTACCCTGCTACCTGATCACCTGAGCAGGATCCGTCCTGACAGCTTGGCTTTTCGTCTGCTTGGTGATCGTCTTTAAGGTTGTTCCTTGAAAATGTGAACGCGTAAAAAGGAGATTAATGACGTGCTGAAAAAAATTCTAGGCAGTGATAGAAAGGTGCACACACAAAAATGTCCCTATCTCTGTGAAGAATTTTTTTTTCTGTCTGTTTATTTTTCTTGTGAACTAATTATTGTGGTAGAGGTTAATTGTGTCTTCCATTCCCTACATTCATTACCGTGATTCTTGTTGTTTTGAATTTGGGTATTTTTCTTTTTGTTTCTGGGGGG